TAAATTATGACTGCAATTTGAATTTTATGGATCACTTTTTTACACATGTAACTGGACATTTTAAGCAAACAAATGTTTGAGTTGCACATTGTTGTTCAAGACTGTAATTTGGCTTCCAACTTCCTACAGCAGGGGTACAATAAAAAGCAATTAAGAAAAGATGGTGTGATTGTTGGGGGTGTTTGCAGCATGGATCTGTTATTTTTCTTAATGGTTATAGAAGAAGCCTAGCTCATTATAATGAAGTGAGCTGTGCGATACTAAGGTTGACGGAATATTGTCTTTATATTTTCAGTACAACTGTTTCTAGTTGCGTCAGGTCAGGTCAGGTCATTAAACTTTTGTTGAGAGTTTAATGCTTTTACCAAGAGATTGTATCTCTGATGGTTTGCCATTCGGAATATGATTTCGTTCCTGGCAATGGCATTGCAAGATGTTTAATCCTTGCCCAACGGATGCTATCATCCTTACCTTATATCAGATGATTAGCTGCACGCCACAACATCCTACTCGCTGGGTACCAATAATGGGAAATGAAAATGTGGGTTTTTAATTGAAGTAATGCTTCGTTGTTCTTATTCCCAAGTATATTCTTGGCCTATTCTTTATTACCAATGATGGGAAATGAAAATGTGGGTTTTCGGTTGAAGTAATGCTTCATTGTTCTTATTCCAAGTATATTCTAGGTCTATTCTTTTATTCTCCCCAGTTATTGGGCAGTACTATGGAATGCAAGGCTGAAGGTTCCACTTGACAGAGACCTCTCATCTTTTACACAGCACAAATGCCTCACAATTTGTTGTCGGGCATGGTGAAAGATTCGATGGAGGCATTATATAACCCATCTGAGCAAAACACTGACAACAAAATTTGACATTTTTTACCTGGTGAGATTCTTAAAACCATATAAACGACTTGTTCATTCAAATAGTAAGAGCTGAATAAAGTTTTAAATTTAAATCTTATAGATAAAAAAATAAACGTTAAAAAGAATTTTTTTTCATCATAAGATTTGACTAAACGTAATTTTATATTAATCAGAACTCAATATAACTTTCAAATACAGATAAGTTTAGTAAAAAGGATAAAGATCCCTCAAACCGTCCAGTATAAACCGTATGCATAGTTTGGAAACATTGGAAATAAAATTCTGAAACGTCGAACTTGAATCCCCAAGGAGATTTGGTAGTGTGAAAAATCTATGGCGTGGCACAACATTGCCACCTAATCCAGTCAAATATCCACAAGAAGAAACCCTCATGAAAGGGATTATTCCACTCTGCAGAAGGCAGAACTCTGTCCAAAGTTTAATTCCTTTTAACCCTTTTCTCTTTATTTCCAAAAAATCAATTTGACTTCTTTGTTTTGAAATGAAAGGGCAAAAAATTGCTCAGATATACAAGCAAATGTAATCACAACTCAGATGAAACTGCATTGATTGCATCAAAGTCCTCTTGCAGAGAGATCTAAACAAAAAGAAAAGCCGCTGCGTTGGTTTAAAGCAGCATTGTCTCTGGGTTCTCAATGTATCCTTTGAAAGCTTTCAGCCATTCAGCACCAATTGCACCTGTGGAAAATATAGCAACGAGAATCATGAGGGTGTACATGATAAGGACATTCAACAGAGAGCTTGACTAAATTCAGAAACTATAGGAAGCAGAACTACCCACCATCTATAACACGATGATCACAGCTTAGGGTTACTGACATGAAGTTAGCAAACTCAAATTGCTCAGAGCCCGAACCAGGAACTACCTTTTTTTCCGCTGCTCAGGGAAAATAATGATCAAAATGACTAAGGTTATGCAGAAAAGAAAATGATTGTTCCAAATGAAAAATTGCATGCCAAGCTTACCAGAACCAATGGCAAGAATTCCTGCCTGAGGAGGATTAATGATGGCACAGAACTGCTTGATACCAAAGGGTCCTCCCAAATTGGAGACAGTGAACGTGCCCCCCTAAAAAGAAACAGAGACTCGGGATTCAGATACATATTACATGCTAGTAAAATGAGAAGGCCACAATCAATTATTAACAGAAACTTTATTCTTACCTCATAATCTTCTGGCTTTAAGCTGTTCTCTTTGGCCTTCTGTGCCAGAAGCTTGACCTCCTCAGCAATCTTAGACAGACCTTTCTTGTCTGCATCCTGTAGATTGTATGGTGTTGGTGATATTGAATCAATATCTGTGATACTAATACAACATGAGGTTTTTCAGAAAGGAAACAGCACTGAATTGAGACGATCACTTACCCTGATAACTGGAACATAGAGTCCATTGTCTGTCTGCACAGCTACATTAATATTCACATTGTTATACCTGGATGGGTAACAAACAAAAAATGTCATGAAAGCTGTGTATCATGAATTAGTCGCAAATGTAAATTACCATATACTCACTGGCGAATATAGTCATCAGTCCATGAACTATTGCACTGAGGAACCTTTTTAAGAGCCAAAGCAGCAGCCTGCAGTTTACAAGATGCTTATCTATAAATTGTTTTGCTCACTACCAAGAAAATATTTATAAAATGCTTTTCTAGAAAAACATAAAATGTTGGTGCACACCATTTTAATGACAACTCCCATGCAGAAATGAAAATTGCAAATCTTTATTTTCAAAGGTCAACCATTTTCAGAACCATATTTGAAATTGATATTTTGATATTTTGAAACAAGTACTGATTGGGCAAATTGAAAAAGAAGCAAACTATCCAATCACTATTGCTAAAAGGTTGCTATGAAGAGAAATAGCAACAAATTTAATGAGACCATAAACCAGCAATGTGTTTGTACTTTGCATCCTCAAGACAGTAAAAAAATTGCCGTTACATGCAAAGACCTAGAGCCCAAGGTTAATACCAGAGAAATAAGGAATACCAAAGATTAAACACTCTTTATCCATATCAAAAGCCAAGTAATTCTGTTTACCTTAATCACAAGATCGTTGACAGATAACCGCTTCCCACCTGAGGCTTCTTGTATGGAATTGAGTTCGCTCCGCAAACTGCAAAGCAACAGTTCAAATTATCACACTGTTCCACTGGTAACTTATATTTGAAAAATCAAACACCATCAGTCAAATACTTACTCCACAAGTTTGTCAACGCAAGTGTCTACTGTCAAGTAATAATGGGGAATAGTTTGCTTTGAGAATAATAAGCGTGAAGCTGTAACCTGTCAAAATTGTAAGAGAAATTAGTTTCAAAAAGCATGTTAAATAAGAATAAAACAAACCAGTGGCTATTTAATGGGAAAAGGACAGCCGTGATAACTTAAGAAAAGGTTGGGAGAAACTACTCCTGCAAGCTCTTGTACAATCAGAAAAAACAAATCCGAAATACAAAAACAAAAACTAGACAAATATAATTTTAGCTATTGAGAAAAGGTAGCTTGACTTTGAGGCTTTATTAAGTGTGGCTGAATGAAACATATTGTATGATTTAATATAATCCTCAAAATCTAACACCAGATACCACTATATGCAAAGGGTAACAAGGAATAAAATTCATAAGCCAGAATCGCTTCATGAGTTAGTAGGCTTAGGCTTAATGATAACCATGATAAAGACACTGATTCACAATCTTACCTTTCTTATCTGAGTATGGGGAATGTCTACATAATCTAGAGCTGCAGGAGTAGTATCCTTAGGCTTATGAGTTGGAGCTGAAACTTCCTTGCCACGAGAAGCTGCATAACAGGTAAAACTCTCCAATAAGCAGATGAATTAGAATTTAGAGGAAGGTATATCAAACTAGAGAAAAAAGAATACCAGGGAAAACCAGAAAATGAAACTATTGTTACAAAGCAATGTTTCAGATCAAGAGAAATAATAAAAGAGTCAGATATGGCACAAATCTGTCTGCAAAAGAATTTAAATACAGTACCCAAGTAATCTTCAATATCAGCTTTTACAATGCTTCCATCTGGACCTGTTCCTTTGATGTTTGAAAGAGGCACCTATAATTGCACCCATTTTGAGAATTAGATAGACATCAGTGCAGAAAAAATGAAAGCAGAGGTCTCAGCACTCTCAATGACTAACATTGTGATCTTCAGCCAATTTTTTTGCGAGAGGGCTAGCAAATATGCGATCTTCTGAGGGAGGTGAACTGGACTTGGAAATTGTTGGCTCTGGTGAACTGACAGGTTTCTCAACAGCTTCCTGCTTGGGTGGGATAGGAGCTTCTGGCTCTTTCTGTGCAGGAGCACTAGCACCTGATGGAGAAGGACTATAATCTTTAAACTGTGCAATATCCTCCTCGTCTTCAACAGTAATAGCAATTATCTACACAGAAACACACACAATACTTGCATCAAATACCCAAAACTCATATAAACTGCAGTTTATTCTTTTGGGGGAGGCAGAGCAATTGATGGAAATCTAGCAGCTACACAACCAAAATGTAACAGCAGCATTTTCTCATAATTTGACTCCCCAGTCCATGAGAGGGAAGAAAGATTCAGATATACACGCACAATTTTTTCAAAATCAATACCTCACCAACTTTGATATCTTTTGAACCATCCCACTTTATTATCTTAGCAAGATAACCTTCTTCCATACACTCCATCTCAACAGTTGCTTTATCCTTTAAACAACAAATAAAAGTGTAAAGTAAAGCGTCAACCTCAAAAAAATGAGAAAAGCATCTAAGCAATAGACTTCATTGGCCACTGTAAGTTTGGTAAAGCCTTACAGTTTCAACTTCACATAGGACTTCACCAGGGGTAATCTTATCACCCTCTTTCTTCAACCATTTTGCAATGTTGCCCTGGAGCCCCATAAATAAATCAGTGAGCAGCAAAGAGAAAGTAAGCATATTATGATATCTTAATTAGAACTAGAAGGATTCTTGCCTCTGTCATTGTGGGAGAGAGAGAAGGCATTCCAATCTCTTGGTGTGGAGGAAGTCCTGAAAGAAACTTTGGCATTCTTAGCAAGTGGATAAGTGTCAAATAATGTATGACAAAACTGGAAACAAGGAATTCAATGGCCTTGAACTCCAGCTAGGACAACTTAAACTTTTACCATTTAAAGAATAACGGCACTTCACATAATATGGTATAATGTAACCAGATGATTAAATACAAGTTGATATGATATGACCAAAAAAAAAAAAAGAGAGAAGCAATAAAGCTTACCCGAGTCAGATGCAAAACCCCTTCGTAAGTGTAGCTGTGAACTGATAAACGAATTGGGTCAGAAGACTCAGATAATGATTAAGAAGGCACTCCCAAGGAAATTAAATTAGGGAAAAAAAAAATTGACAGCAAATGGTCAAATGGTAGAGACGGAGAGACTAATACCATGGTAGTTCTCTGTTAAATAGTGATCCAGCCATGGAATTTCTAAATTTCATTGTGATCCTTGAAAGATTATTCTTGGATGAACCAGTTGAAACCTACAGAAGATGTGAATCTGTCACTATTTTGCTGGTCTCATTGTCAACCACAAACAAAATCTTACAAGGGGGACTGGGAAAGTCTAGTACAGGAAATATATAATTCCAACAGAAAGGCTGCAATGTGCATGCTCCAATGGTAGAGTAGAAGAGCCAACGAAAAAGGACACACTTACAGTGGTGCGAGTGAGAAACTCAGATATCCTCTCCCTTTCCATGGGTTCATAGCCCTGACGATAAACCTTCTTAACATCTGCAAAGTAACCAGCCTTACTTAGAAGTGCATGAATAATTTTCATTAAATTTGTATGCATTCATATGGATGAAAGTGATAGAAGAAGATGCATATCATCTATGGTATCACAAGAATGCAAAATAGCAAGCTTATCGTAGTTAATGGACTTGACAGGAAATTTGACATAAAAATCCCTTTCTCATTCCCAGTTCAATGCAAGACTTTTATATTAGAAGCATATTTAAGAAACCAAACACCAGCAAACTGCAGGTTAATGCTCAATGCGGAGAAAAAACATTAGATCTTTACACAATGCAATTATTGACTTCCTAGGTAAGTCAAGAACATCAGCCCACCAGCCCCTTTCAACCTTTGCAGCAATCACCCTTTGGGTTGAACACTAAACAGGAATAGATCTTATGCTAAATTGGAAAATCATTTTCAAGGCATGTAAGGGACTCATTCTGCTAAAAAATAAGGTTGCATAGACAGCCCAGGTTGTGACAAAAACCAAACAAGCACGAATCCATATCAATATCGAGAACCTACCTTCTCTTTTCCGAACAGAGGAGTGTGCATCATGGGAAATCCAACGAACCCAAATGGCATGCTCCTGCCTGAGTACGCTGGAAACATTTTTTATCTGAGAATGCAAAACAAGTTGAAACTCAAAACCATGAACCAAGTGTATACTAAAATAGATTATATGAGCTGAGCTATAATTTCAATCATGATCCATCAATGGCAAGCAAAACCATAGAAAATAGTACAAAAAGGAAATTGCTAAAGTGAAAGATTGTATCTTTCAGTTTGCAAACTGAAATCAATCATAATTCTGAACCATTCAAATTCATACTCTTGATCGATCTAGCACATATTGATCCCTGAAGCTCTCCAGTTTACCATTAAAATAATAAGCATCTTTATCAGGCTATCTAATCCAATACAAGCAATGTCCACAAATTGCAATCCCAGTAACACCCAGTAAGAAAAATTCCCCCAAAATTTGATTTTTATGCAACATGACTACAACTACAATCGGAAGTGAATTGCCCAGCAGACGAAACCGGGTCTCCAATAAGTACAAGGGGAGAACTAAGTGAACTGACATACCTTTCTACAGTGATTGATAACATGAGATGCATACGCCATGCTTCCAACTCCAATCAAAATTATTCCAAAAAGTGACAAATGAGGTGGGAAAAATGGTTAGGAGAAGTGAGGAGAAGATGGTAGAATAGGCAGAGCTTGGTAGTTAAAGCATGAACCTTAGGGTTCGGTAGCAGATCCCATTTGACTTCTTTTTTTTTTTTTTTCACTTTCAAATTCAACCGTAGACTTTTTTTTTTTTTTTTCTACATTTCTGTCAGGTGTTTGAGTTTGGGGGCTAGTTCTCAAACATGCAAAGAGTAATCTTTCCTGTAGTCATCTTAACAGTTCGTTAATTAGAATGCCAACTTTATTACCAAGATTTTATTACAACATTGATTAGAAAAGTACTTTATTATTTTATCCGTTTATTTTTAACCAATAGACTTAGTTTCTGTTGCTTCTAGCTCGTTAGCAAACTGCTGTAAATTTATAAGAGTAATGATACACGGGAAGATTTTGGTAACGAAATCACGGGACGATAACTGAAGTAGTCTCAACAGTCATTATCAATTTAACCCTGCTTTACTTGTTGTCCCGTGATTTCGTCCCTCAAAATCATCCCGCGTATCATTACTCATAAAATGTATCTTTCGAATTTAAACTTAAGATTTGAGCCTTTTCATTCTCAAATTGTAAATTATTTCAAAAAATACAAATGCACTTAGTTTTTGTTAAATAAAATAGAGGTGTATTATAATAACTTATTAATAAAATTTTTTATTTATTTTTATTTGAGTATCACTTAAAGTAATAGTAAAATGTGAGTAAATGTATAAAATGACATTTTAAAAAGAAAAAATAAATATTAAATTTGAATACCTCAAATAAGAAATTAAATCAACTAAAATTGAATAGAGATAGTATATAAAAATTTATAAGTAAATTTTGTCAGATTGTTAATTTTTTTTTAATTTGATAAAAAATTCATATAAAAAAATTCATTAAAAAAATAAAATAAATCCTATACAAGAAAATTTAAAGGGAAATTTTATTAAAAGTATAAAAAGAAAGTGATTAATGTTAATTAGTCAAATCTATAAAAAAATTAAATAAAAATATTTTAAAATTACATTATTTTTTTATCTTTGTTAAAATTATATTATTTTAATAATACAAACACCGGATAAAAATATATTGATATTATAAAAATTAATTTTTTTAAATATTAATACGAAAACTCGAAACCTGCACCCACCCCCACATAACGGTACATGCGGCCCTTCCAGTTAAACCATTGCCATTATTTTTAAAAGGCATATGCTTTTTCTTTTTTTTTTTCTTTTTTTTTTGAACAATGTACCATTTTAAGAAATGGAAAATGAGATTTTTAAAGTTGTTCAATGAGACTTAAAATCTTGATCAATAAATCCAAACACTTAAAGGTATGAGATAAATTACTGAGATTCGAAGATCGGATTAAGCATATGCATTTTCTTTTAGAGCAGGATTAAAAAGAAAAATGCACCTGCATAAGTCAAATTTGAATTGAAGGATCTGTTTGGTTTGGTTGGGAAACATTCCCCCAAACCTTTTATTTTATAAAGTTATTTAGCATTTTTGTATATTAATATTATAACAAAATAAAGGTTAAAATAACATTTTAATTTTAATTTTTTATATAATTTTTAATCAATTTATTTTTATTTTCATATTTTTTTAAAAAATATTTTCATTAATTTTTTTATGTAAGAATCATTTAATAATTTTTTTATTAACTTTTCTTATATTAATTACTTACCAAATATAAAAAAATTAATAATTTAACAAAATTTTAAGAAAACTTCATTGCAAAACATATCTTTTTTTTGGTAAAAAAATGCATTAACTTTCTATATAATATTTTTAAATTTTCAATACTGTAATTTCTCAACCATTCTCTTTATAAAAACATTAATAATAAAGTTCATATCAAACCAAACATACCTAAAATGTTTGAGGTTGTTTGGCTGAGGAAAATAGAAGGAGGGGATAGTTTAATTTTTTTTATTTGTAGAGATAAAAAATTGAATCATAAATATATAATTAAGATCGTATATAGCTTTATTATTAAATTACGCAACTAAAGGTTGGAGGGGAAAGTTTGTGTAATCAAATTAAGAATAGAAATTAAGAAGATGAGCTAAAATCTTAATTTGATTAGTGGAAAAAATTCCATTCGTTTCCTTCTTTCCAACCATTTTCCTGAAAATAAACAAACTTGATTTGTTCAACAAATTTGAAGTCGGTGGTTAACAATAGCTGCAGCTATATGGTATAAAAATTTAAAACCAATAATTACGATTTTTGGTTACTCCCACACAAATAAATAATAGTATTTAAATTATCAATAATAATAATTAATTATTTAAATTAAACAAAACAACTAGTAATTAATTATAAATCACCGTACCAAACACTTAATAAAAATATATGGGTTAAAAACAATATTAATTATAATTGCTAAACAAAATACTCATAATAACTTGTAGAATTTGCTAAATTTGAACTACATAACTAAACTAAAAACATTGTTAAGCCTTCTGTGACGATATTTTTTATGAAATTTTTTCTTATTATACTTTATTATAAAATATAAAATTTTAATTTTAATAATTTTAATTAATTTTTTAGGAGTTGTAAATTTTCAAGTTAATAATAAGAAAAATGTGTAGAAATGTCTATAAAAAATAAATTAAATGCTCATAATAAATTAACATGTAATAAATTAATATATGAGAAAATTTTGTTAAAGTATTTAAATAATTTTACAAATATTTTTTTATTTTTTTACAAGTTATATTGTAAAACTTTTTTTAATATATTTTTATTAATTTTAATTAATATTTAAAAAATTATTTTATAATTTAAATTATATTAAAAGATAAAATAAGAGATTATTAATATTTTATATATTTATAGAATAATAAAAAACAAAAAAAATATTAACAACTATAATACCACATAATACAATATAATACTAAAAAATGAAGCCTTATTTTCAAGTAAGGAAAACGTACTCTAACCAAACACAGCTTTAGCAAGCAGGGGGCGTTGGTGTTTGTCGTCACCTCCGGAGTGAGAATCCCTAAATTTCGAGAATCCGTCGCCGATTACGGCACTAAATAAACTTGCTGGGGGAAAGAGAGATAGTACGGTAGAATGGGAAACCAGAAGCAAAAGTGGACGTCGGAGGAAGAAGAAGCACTACTCGCCGGCGTATCCAAGCACGGTCCCGGAAAATGGAAGAACATCCTCAGGGACCCCGAATTTGCTCCTTTCCTCACTCAACGCTCCAACATTGATCTCAAGGTCCCTATCTACTTTTCATTCTCATTTCCTTTTTCGGGTTTCATGAACGTAATTTAAGTCTTGTTTTTTATATTCATCTCTTGCGTCTTGTCTGGTTTCTGTGATTTTCCTGGAAATTTCATTCTTCGTGGGTTTAATCACTTGTCTTGGCCATATAGTTTTGCTGCAGAAACCCTAGATTTCAGTGAATAAGTGATTAAAAACTATTTTCTGATGTTCTATTCTATGAAACAAGTTCTTATTTCTTCTTCAAATTATGGATTCTGCCATTGCTTTACATCTCTAGGCATTCTGCAATAGCATGGTTCATGTTCTTAATTACATTATTGGTTTTTGTTATTTTACCATGTTATTTTGTTGCTTCTGCTGCCAGGACAAATGGCGGAATTTGAGTGTTAGTACAGCATCTCAAGGCTCAAGAGAAAAGTCCAGGCAACTTAAAGTAAAACTGCTTCCAGCTGCCTCCATTACAAACACTCCGAATTCTGCTCCTGCACGTGCTCACAATGTACCCTCAGATATTACCGTGGAAGACCCTTCAAATAGTGCCTTAGATGGGAAGAATGCTCCTAGGTTTGTCTCTTTGTTCCCCACAAGGCAAAAGCTCCAGCAATCTATATATAAAATTGAAATTATATTATATGGCTGTAAATTGTTCTCTATTGTAGTATTATATCATCCTATCTTAAATGTTTGTCTTTATAGACCATGCGGCACTGATAAGATCTTAAGGTGTATCACGGCAGATAAAGTTGGATTGGCTAAATAATTGACATCATTTTTTGAGAACAATCTATGCATTCTTTACATTTGTGTGATTGAGGATGAACAAAGCTAAGCTACAGCCTTTCAGATTTTCACTGGTTCAAGCTGAGTCTTTGCACTTTATATAAATATGATGTGAGAAAAACAAAGTTGAATTCAGGTAAAAAGTTGATTTTGTGCCCAAAGAACTCTTGTTTGTTTAGTGTCATGTAGTCTATGAGAAAGTTCAAACATAACATGCCATTTGTGATTGGGGAATTTAGTTGTCTGGTTTGCTTCCCACTCTTTTTTCCTCCTCTCATGATCAATAATATTTTTATTTTTCTTTAAAATTTTCCCCTTATGTTAGAAACTCTAGTTTTATAAAAGTGCGAGTTAAGGTGAAAATTATTGATAGTGCATTTCTTTAAAATTCTTTTTTTTTTTCCTTTGTCACGTCATATGAGTATCATAATCCCTTGACAGTCGGTGCTGAGAAGTGAAGTTATTGTTTTCTTTTAATTGTACATTACATGTTGATTGGGTATTTGATCCTATTATGTGCATTCCTTATTCTTTGCTCTACTAGGTATAACGCAATGATTTTTGAAGCTCTCACAAACATAAAAGATGCAAATGGAGCTGATATAAGTGCAATCATAAGCTACATTGAGGTTAGATGGATGTTTCTTCTCTTTTGTTCTCATTTAGCTTCATTTCCCATGAATTCTTATGTTTCCTGAGTATTAGAATGTTTCTCGCTGTTTTAGAGAACCCCAGCTCCAGTTATTGAATAGAAAACCGGAGACAGCTATAAGCCTACGAGGAAGGGGAATGGCTGTTCTCTCTTGTTTGAACCAATTGCTGTTCTCTAGTTTATAAGGCAAGCTTGACAATAAAGATTGTTGATTATCTTGATTCACTTACTGCAGCAAAGGCATGAGATACAAGCAAATTTTAGAAGGTCAATAAGTTCAAGGCTGAGAAGACTTGTTTCTCAGGGAAAACTTGAAAAGGTGAGTTGAATGCTTCAATGGAATGCTATCAATGAATCTCTTCCACTTATATATAACTTACATTGCCTTCACTACCCTTGTTTTCCCATACTCCCTTCTTAAAATACAACACACAAAACATAATGTTTATGAGTTACATATTTCAATATTTTTGTGAGATATTGGAGTATTAGTTATATGGTACCTATATTTTTTTCACATTGTAGCTCTTTCGTGCTGCTTAAAGTCCTCAATGGTTAATTCAACTATATCCAATCAAAGGCCCCTTCGACAACCATCAAATGACTTTACCAACCAAGCTTGCTAGAGCCTTCACTTTATCTTTTTGGGACATGTCACTACTTTCACTGTTAAGTGACTTTAGCTTCTTACCATTGTTAATATATGTAATGCAGGTTCAAAATTGCTACAAGATTAGAAAAGATACCGTGTTGGGAGTTAAAACACCCCCTAAAACAAAAGATAGGATTCGGCAGCCACAAGGTGGTGGAGTGACAAGCTCCATTGAGACAGTGGAAGAAGCAGCAACTACAGCCGCCTACAGAGTTGCTGAAGCAGAAAACAAATCCTTTCTGGCTGCTGAAGCAGTTAAGGAAGCAGAAAGGATCTCAAGAATAGCTGAGGATACCGAATCAACGCTACAGCTAGTAAAAGAGATCTATGAACAATGTAATGCAAAATATAACATCCTCCCTTCAGAATTACCCATCTTTCTCTTATTCTGGAAATTCATTCATCTTATTTGATTTACTTCTGCAGGCGTCCGTGGTGAAATTGTTCTCCTTGCTTGAACCCAACGATGGATGTCTGAATTTTAAAAAGAAGAATTTGGTTGCTCTCATTAGTTTTTTATTATGTAGTTATTCTCTCTAGATAAATTTCTGTACATGTGCTTATGATTTGATGTAAGATCTCTAATTATCAAGGGAACTATAACTAAGTTATATCATTTGGTCTGTTGAAATTATTTACTTGAAAATGGTTCTATATTCTAATGAAAAAAAGATGCTTTTTTAAAGGGAATGGTGGTTTTTAGTCGGATTGTATAAAATATATATATATATATGTATAGTATGGGCTAGAAGGGTATTTAATAAAAATACATTCCACAGCCCTAACTTTGCAGGTCGGACTGAAAAAAAAAAGAAAAAAGAAAAAAGAAGAAAGAAAAAAGAAAAAAAAAGAAAAAAAAAGAGGTTTTTATTTTTATTTTTATTTTTATTTCGATTGCATAATGAGAGGTAATCATCTCTCATCAATTATTTTATCTTACTCACATATTATGCGATTTAAATTCAAAATTTTTTACTTTCAACGGAAATAAATAATCATTGAACTAGTTAAATAATCATTGAACTAGTTAGATTTGGGCAAAAAAAGTTTTTTTTTTAATATGTTGAAGAAAACCAATTAAGAAAATTAGATTTTTTGAAACTGAATAAAAAAATAAATAAAACTAATAAGATATATTAAATAATATAAAAAAACTTTGTTTTATAATGTAAATTATATTAAATTATAAATTATTATTATTTTTTGATAAAATAAAATATTAAATATTAAATGAGCAACTAACCTTTAATATTGAGAGGATTATTTTTATATGATAATTAATATAATATAATTTAATATAATTTAAATTGTATTATGTTTTTTCGATACTTAATCAGGGGCAGGGAAAAGTAACAGGTTTTTTTTTTTTTTGACAATAGTAATAGTTACTAGGTTAGGTTAGTTGTTTGTTAGAAATTAAAGATTCGATTCTCAGATGAAGGTGAGTATCACCTCCCTTTATTGAAGAACGCAACCTAATGAACCATATAATGAAATACAAATAACAGGTTATTTGGTGGTCTCGGTCTCCAATCTTTCTCAATTTCTTCACTCATAAGGATCGTGTGATGCACATGGATTTAATTCCATTACCAACAAAAACATTGGACGTCAGAGGATATCTATCCATTGCCAAGGAACTGAAAGGAACATATTTGCTAAAATGGTGGAAAAAGTTGAAGTCAAAAAGCTAAACTTTTCTTTAAATAAAAAAATAAAAAGCTAAAGTTTTAATGCTCGCATATGCGTGAGAATATGACTAGGATGACATTCCTCCTCAATCCAGTGATCCAAGCGAGTTGAAAATTTGTGTGGAAAATTTTCCCCATTTTGTGGGGCCTTTACTCTTAATACCCATTAATAATACGAAGATATATATTTTAAATTATACAATATAATTGTGGTAAGGAATCAT